CCTGTGACTTAATTTGGGGCTTTTCCCCAGGCACACAGTCATGTGCTGCCTTTCCCAGCTGTGACAGTAGTTTGTGGGGGCAGAAGCAATATAAGAATAGAGTGAGGGAACACTTCTGTCTTTCCCCCCTCTTGGAAGAATAATCCGCATAATCACTACTGCCTTTGCTACACTGTTTCCCCCATGTTCTAAGATGGGTGGAGGAAAGAAAAAGGAACACAAATCATTGTGCCTCAGTACCCTTCGCCCACCAGTCTGAGCCTTGCTCTGCTTCTGGCCTCTGTTTCTTAGATGAACCATCTTCAGGCTGACCTTTAAAACGGCACACCTTCTCCTGCCTGTTCTACGCCTCGCCTTAGAAAGGGCATCCTGGAGAAGATTAGGAATTTCTTCGAGAAGAATTCTTGCCTCGAAACGGGAGAATTGCAAACTTGAAAGTAAGTGACCCACCTGATGAAGGTTAAGCTACAAGGCTACAGCCCAACACTAAACATACAGCAGGGCTCACAGGATGTCTTTGAGCTATGAATTGACCGGAGAGGCCACCCCAGTGCTCATCAAGGGGGTAGAACTGTGATAGCCGCGTCTGGCAGCTTCTCCGCTGTCCACGGTGCTGAATCCCACCCACCGGTTGCCTCTAGGAGGACAACAGGAACAGGAACAAGTCCGCAGGAAGGAAAATACAACCAACTGTCCTGGGGCCTCAGCCCTTATGGGGAAGGCACTACTAAATTAGGATCCGGTCAAACTGCAGTTATTTTAGGTCTTTTAATTGGACTTGGGACGCCTGACTAAGGAGAAAGGAAATCTAGTTAGGTCTTGTGCCTGACACCTTAGCTACATCATTTAACCTTTAACATAACCAGTGTGGGTTGATGTTTTTATCTTCATTTTGCTAGTGCAGAGATGCAGTATAGAAAAATTGCTCATTGGAAAGTTGCTTTCAAGTTTGGTGAAACTCATACAATTTTACTCCATCACTCTGGAGCCAGTGCTCAAACACAGAGGGAGGTGCTGGTTCCCAAAGCCAGAACTGGAGGCAGCAGATCCACAGGCCCCAAGGCTGGTGCCAGTGGCCTTAGGCAGCTACTCAAAAGCTGAGGACACTGGGTTAGGTCACCAGATTGCATGGTTCCTCCCTGGGACATTTCAGATTTTAAATCTTTGAGACTGGAATGATTTCAAAAAGCTCTCATTGTCCTAAGAACCACATACACTGGGCTCACACAAATGAGCAAGCTTCATTTGCTTTTTCACATATGGGAAAGAGATGTGATTATAAGGAAGGCATTCAAATTAAAATGGGCTGTTTTATTTTAATTGACCTTTGCTTCCCAACACACTAACTCCCTCCTGTCCCTGCTTTGGCCTCCTCCACCCCTTGCTGTGCTCCGTGATTCATCAGGGCCTGAGGCTCAGCAGCTGTAATTGGTTTGTAACTTCCTGGAATGTCAAAGCTGAGATGGAAATTTTACGTATCACTCCACCAATTCCATCCTAGCTTTAATAATAAGTTGGCAGAAGGGAAGGCAGATTTACAGCAGGAGAGAAATGTAATCAAATTTGGAGGTGAAATGCAATAAGTACAAATGCTAGTTTTCATTTGGAAGCTTCTTAGATAAATGTGAGCTCAGCCAGCTCCCCAGCCAAATCCTTTGTTCCTCCCTGGGAATGGTGGCCAGCCTCTGTAAAGTGATAATCCTCAAAGGGAAAGTTTGTATCTGGAGTTTCTTAGCCTGGCCTCAGCAAGTGACCCCGGAGACTGGAGAGGCATGAAAGGTCAGTTGGGGCGACAAGGCTTGACTGGCGGTCTCTGATAACGCTGGGTGCCAGGGGTCTGGGAAGAACCGTGTACTCACTGGGTCTTGTATTAGATGCTCTGCATTCCTTATCTGTTTTGGGTTCATGGCAGCCTTGTAAGGTAAGGAATGATTTTCTTCCCATTTGATAGAGGGATAAAGTGAGACTTAGGGGGCGATTCTCAGAAATAACATGCATGTGGGGGAGTCTTTCAGTCTTTGGAGGAATAGTAACAGGTGATTTTGTTTGGGTTTGTTTTTGTTTTTTGGTACCGGGGATTGAACTCAGGACCTTGCACTTGTGAGACAGACAGCAGAAACACTGAGCTAAATCCCTGGCCCATGGTTAATGTTTCTTAAATACTTATTGTTAGGTTATTTGTGTAAACTCTCATGACATCTCTGTGGGGAAAATGCCACTGTCCTCTTTTTATCTCCACTTATCAGGTGATAAAACTTTCCCAAGATTGATCTCCTTATAAAAGTCAGAGCCATCATTGGCTGTGGGGGACATGCAGATTAAACCACAGTAAGACCCCATGGCTCATCCATTGTCACGGTTCAGATAAAAAATAATGACAGCCCCAAGTGCTGGTGCAGATGTGAAGAGTGGAGCCAGCTCATTCACTGCTGGTGGCAATGTAAAATGATACAGATGCCCCTAAAGAGGATGGCAGTTGCTTACAAAGTTAAACGTGCTTACCATGCAACCCAGCAATCACACTCTTGGGAATCTGTCCCAGAGAAATGAAATCCTATGTTCACACATAAGCCTTTGCATGCGTGTTCATAGCAGCTCTGTTCATAACAACCAACACTTGGAGAAGATCCACATGTCCTTCAACAGGCAAATGATGAAGCAAACTGTGGAGCATCATACCAAGAATTCCCAGTCAGCAATGAAAAGGAACAAGCTATTGATACACAAAGCCACTTGGACGGAACACAAGGGATTACTCTGAGCAAAGGAAAAAGTCAACCCAAAAGGTCACAGACTATATGATTCCATTCATGTGACATTCCTGAAGCGACAAAGCTATTGGAATGGAAGACAGATTAATGGTGGCCACAGACTAGGACAGGGTAGGGAGGCAGGTGGCTCTGGCTGCAAAGGATAGCACAAGGTGTCCTGGTGGTGGTGAATCCTGGTGGTGGTGAATTCTATCTTCTCACTTCCCCTCTTCCTCTCCCCCTCTCTCACAGAGCTGCATAAACACGCACGTGTGCACGCACACACACACACATACACACACAGAAAAAGACTGGGTAAGTCTGCTAAGCTTGCTGGTTGTGTTGATGCTTTCGTTGTAATATTGTGCTGTGTTTATGTAAGATTAAATTAATCACCAGGGGAAGTTGAGCGTCACAGGCATCATAACTGCTTATGGGAGCCAGGCACAATGGGGCCTGCTGGGGCCCTGGGAAGATGAGGCAGGATGATCACAAGTTTGAGCCCAGTGTGGGCCACTTAGAGACTTGGCAAGATCCTGTCCCAAAGTTAGAAAAAAGTTCAAAAGGCTGGGAGAAAGGACTCCAAAATTCATAACCTCTACTCTATGCTACCAACCCCATCTAATAGAAAATTATTAAGTTCTTTACATTGGGGATATGTCTTCCCTCTCCCACGTGACTCCAGTGACATCGTCAGTAAGGGGTACTTGGGCCCAGGATGGTGAGCCCATGCTCTTGCCCATACTCGGGGAGGTTATGTCCACACCACACCCACAAGTCCAAGGAAGCAGAAATCACCAAGCTCTGTTTTTCCTACCGTGTCGAGATACACTGCCTGAGAATAAACACAGAAAATTGGAGGAAGAGTGCAGAAGGAGAAAAGCAGAAGACTGATGATAATTAAGGAGGCTCTGTCTCTCTATATCCATGTCTGTGCTTGTATCATCTACTTGTATTTGTATCTGAAGCACCCTCTTGTGGATTCCTTAGATCTATGAAGAATTACGTCCACTTTTCAGGTGCTGAAGTTCAAGTATCATTCCTATTACTTGAGACCCAAAGGGCCCCAACACACAACCACTCTGCTGCTGTGCCTCCTAGCACCTTGTCTACCTGTGTGAGCCCTGCTCTGCCTCAGGGATTATTGAATCCACTGCCTGTGGGTACTGAGACCTGGCCAACTCCCGATATATTTGAGGATTCTAATTTAGGCTTCTCTCCTTGAGTCCTGAGCTCTGCCTAGAGATGGGAAATCACAGCCCTGTCCTGAGGTGGGAGCAGCTACTCTGGGCTGAGAAGTATCAACCCAACATGGCTTGGAGACCATTCCCACTCCAGCTGTCAGCCCAACTCTATAATAATTTAAATCAGCATTTTGGGGCTATAGATTGTTAGTAAGGTCTTGCTAATGGGTAGAGCAAGTCACCTTAGCGACAGTGTCCTCACACATGCCTGGGGTTTGATCCCCACCGATGAAAACTCACTGTGTGGTCCTGGTGGCCTCTGTTACTGCTGGACCAGAGCCTGGGGTGGGAGTTGCAGCACTTCACAGAGTGTTTAGGGCCAGTGCTGAGCTCTGGAGGGTGCTCTGCAGGTTGAGGGAGAGGGAAGTACAAGGCCTGGTGGATGCCAACAGCACACTTTGGAGGACCCATACTTTCCTCCCCGCTTAGTGACCTCCCCAAGGAGAGCAGCCTAGAGATGCCCTCCCAAACAAGTTCATGAGGCCATGTTTAGATAAACACTGTGTCAGAAGACCCCATTCTTGGACGAGGAGTAGCCTTGCCCCAACTCATCCCACTTTGTCACTTCTTCATCCTTCCCTCTGTCCCAGCTGTTCCTCCCCTCCACTGCTCCCTCCTCCCCATCTGCCTTTCTAACCTGTGCTTCCCTCAGCCCCTCCGGTTCACACCTACTCCTCTCATTTCCTCCCATTCGCCATGGAATCTGGGGTGCGGTCGGGCAGCCTGGCCCTCTAAACCACTGCATGAGGGGGTGGCCTCCTCAGAGAGAGGTTGCTAGAATCTCAAACTCGGACACTGTTGCTTACTACTTGCCCGACACTGTCCTGAGCCCTTTTTTTTTCTTGAACAGCTTAATTAGGTAGACACAAACATTCTTTTCATTTTTCATGTGAGCAAACCGAGACACAAAATGCTAAATAATTTTTCCAAGGTCAAATAGCCACCAAGTGTGGAATAGCCAGACATGCTTTTATCCATGCTCAGTAGCAGTGGTAGGGCTCTTGGGGAGAGGAAAGTCAAAGGCTGATTTTATTGTCTGTTTTGACAAAGTGTTTGTGATGGTTAAACATTTACAAGACAAATAGAGCATGAACCTATGAGTCAGGAAAACAACTTCCTTGCCACTCTGTTCAGGTTGGACTGATCTCTCTCCTGGCTCCATGAACAGCCACAGAACTGGTCTGCCTAGGCAAGATTCACATGTTCCTGGTCGTAGTGATTAATTCAGTGGCGGGCACGTAACAAAAGCCAGGTCAATGAGATCTGATTTGCTGTTCTTGGTGGCCCCTAGTGGTTGGAGAGGGGTACCATGTGTTGATTGGCCAGGCCTGGGTCATGTGCTCAGCTCTGAGCCAATCCCTGTGGAGAAAGGAAGGAGATATGGTAATGGGGCCACCACAGTGTCCTGTGCCATGGTGACCTCAACTAGAACTGCACAGGCTGAAAGTGGGAGCAGAGTGGGCCCCCAAGAAAGGCTGGAATACTTCTTTCCAGAGGAAGAAGGAGTGGATATGGGGAGGGCACTGCTCGCATGCTTCTGCACCTGCTATCTTCAACCCCAGGAAGGCTGCAGGGAGTTCTCCTTTACCATCCCAGCCCCGTCCCACGGCAGACCAAGCCAGAGTGGAGGAAGCAAGCCCAGTTGTGGAGCAACAGCCTTTGGCAGGCTGATCTTCTGCTCTTAGAATGTCCAGCCACTCTTCCACTGAGATGTTCCTGCCAGTCAAGGATTTCTGAGCCCTCTGTCTGTTGCTCTCTGTGTGTGTCTCTGCCTCTGCTCCTCTCTCTGCCCCTGTGTCTCTGTCTCGAACCCTGTGTTTCTGTCTGTCTGTCTCTGTCTCCCTCCCTCCCTCCCTCCCTCTCTGTTGCAGGACAAGGCTTGTATTCTACCTCTCACCCCACATTCCTGATGCAGGTTTTCACAGGGCTCCCAGGTCGTGTGCCACACATACATTTTCTTTCAAAATGGAGCCCATTGACATCATTAGGAAACAGTGATATTTCATTTCAAACCCCGACCCCCAGATTGCCTTCGAAACCTTGGAGGAACTTGATGAGTGGCAACTGCCACAGTTAGAAGAGCATGTGCCGTTCAGCTCCCCTGTGAGCCTGCCCCTCTGGTCACTGCCACGGCTGCCTGGGCTCAGGGGGTGCTGGGTTACAGCCCCTGTTCTGTAGGCTGGGCCTGCCTCCATCTCCAGCCCTTCACCACGGGGGCTGCGGTTGTTCCCTGAAATTCATCTAGCTTTTGTCCGAGTTGAGATCGCAGTCACTGTGAGGCGCATCCTGCTGTATTGGGCTGGGGGTTCCTGGGCAGACCATGGTAGCTGTGGGACCTAGGGACCTCCAGGGGAGAGGAAAGGAGGCCATAGAAGTGAATGTCTTAGAAGCAAAAGTGCTCAAGTGGGTGGAGGGGACTGGGCTAGCTCCTCATTTTTCATATACTAGGCGCAGTAGGCTTGTGGGGAGGTTTCTGAGATGTCCAGGACCCAGCTAGCTGGCAGTAACCTGAGGAAGTTTGCTCTTCTCAAGTATGAAGTTGTCTTCTCTTAGCTTTTCTCTAAGGGGATGATTTTTGCCTGAAACTTATGGACCACAGACATCACCTTCTCCAGGGGCAGCGCTAAGCAATTTGTTCTCATTTTCAGTCTCCTCCCATGCAGCATTATAAGGAGCCACAATGAGTGGCTGGACAAGGTGAAGAGGTGGGGATGGAATTGTGTTGAGAGACGCAGGAGCAGTCGAGTGTTCTGCTTTGTTCTGGGGTTGGGGAATCCTCATCTTCTCATTGTGAACTACTTGTCATTTTAGGATTTTTGACACTGTTCATGATTTTTGAAGGATGTGCGTTTTTACCGTGCATGTGGTGTGTAAGTCCCTTCTGCTGTGGAGACCAACGTGAAGTCAATCCCCATAGCAAGGAGCCAGGCACTTTCACTGCAGGGTCCTTCTTCCGGGTGTCACTCTGGACCTGCTCTGCCCTGGAATCTGCATTTTACCCAGCCATCCCTAACCCAGTAAACCATATCCACAGGAAAGATTGTGATTCCCTAATTTGGACTCTAAATTTTAGACTAAAGATTAAAAGCACACAGACAGTGGAAGTCGAGGCTTTCACTAGGTGACTGTTTCATAGATGAAGCTGAGCAGCCCAGAAGGCTGCCGTGTTTAAGGCTGGGATTCAAGGCTGTAAGCACTGAAAGAGTAGCATGCCCCACACTTGTCAATATTAATTCAAGACAAAAACAGTGCTATGCTAACGCATAAAACGTAAGTATACATATTGAAGTGGCTTCCTTTGCAGGGTGCAAATTGGGAAACGTTGAATATGTTCATTGAAACAGAAATGGTCTTGTTTGGGGAAGAAATCACTACCTAACCGGTGTCCCATGGTGATGCTTCTTCTCCTCCTTCCTGAGTAATACGGCTTCGGTATCATTCATTCAGGCAGCTGATATTTACCGAGCTCAGCGCAGCCGTTAATAAAAAGACAAACATCTTTGTCTCCGCGGAGCTTACCTTCTAGTGATGCAAGCTAAGTACGTAAATGATGTGTCATGACACGGGGGCATCCGTGCCCCAGAGAGAGGCAGAGGAGAAGGGGGTAGGCAGCTCAGGGCGGGGGTGAGGCGTACATGTCCAAGGGGCCACGCGGCCCTGCAGGAAGAAGGTCCTGGTAGAGGGGACAGGACTTGCCTCGTTCCGAGCAGCTGCAGTGTAGGCTCCAGCCCTTGGGCAGAAACCCCAATAGCCCCAATCCAGAGGGAGGCCATGCGAGACCTCTGTGCTCTCATCACTGTTGGTGTCAAGTCTGACAGGTGGCCATAGACGCTGTCCCCAGACTTTACCGACAGTTTCCACATTTTTCCCTGAGGGGTCAGCTCAAGTCTGTTCAGAAATGTCAGTTAAGCTCCAGTTTTTTTGCCCAGACTTGTGCTGGGCACCTGTGGTTCAGACCCTGCTCAGGCAGCCTGACACAGAGCATGAGAGCCGCTGAGGAGTCAGGGAGGAGCGTGGACTCGGCCCAGCGCCAGTGGGTAGCTGGGAGCAGTCCCTCTTTGACATTCGCTTCCCTCACCTCACTCACTACTCCCCAGACACTCTGGCTTCTTTCTAGGTCCCAAAGGCACCGAGTCCCTTGTGGCTTCAGGACGTTTGCTGTCTCCTCACCACCCGAGACCTCTCCGGGCGTGAGTTCACACTGTGTAGGCTCGGACAGATGTCCCCTCCTCTAGCAGGCCTCCCAGGTTCCTGCAGCCTGTGCCCCATCACAGTGTGTCACTTTCCTTGTTCCTTCTTCCTTCTGAGTGCCCTCTGAAGCTATGGGCACCTGTGCTTTTACACCCCCACCCCCGCACCAGAGCTAGGACTTGGTTTCTCTCATCTGACCCTTCACCAAGGGACCACTGATGCCGCACTGCCCACCTTCCTCCTGCTCAGCCCCTCTGCCCACGGGGGAGGCCTGTCCAGTCCATTCTTGGTTCCTGCCACTGGCCACAGAGGACTGTTGTCCTCTGTCCTACAACACCTGGGGCAACATAATTGTTGACATTGGGGACTTGCTTGGATCTCTACTTCTGCTGCTCTCAAACTGTGCGCCCCGGGCAAATTAATGAACTTCTCCGGACCACAGCCTCAGCTTCCCCGCCTGAGGAAACAGTGCCTTCAGTCAACATCAGCCTTCATTAGTTTTCCAGCAGTGGTTACCAGAAGCCTCTACCTGTAAGGGTTGCTTGAACCACTGTGTACCTGAGACCTGAGGTGAGAGCCCTGGCCTGGGCTGGATCCCCCAGGGGCCCCTGAAGAGGGGCCCATAACAATAAAGTCCAAACTCAGTGATTGTGTCCCCTGGGGACCAGGAGTTAATGATCCGGGGATGGTTAATGAGCTTCCTCCTCTGGCAGGTGGCATGGCAGCCTTCCAGGCCAGCGGCTGCTCCCTGCACCTGCCCCACTCCACATCCAATTCCTTTGCAGTGTCCTAAAAAGCTAACCAAGCTGAAACCGCTCACCCCAAGGCTCTAAAACTCCCACAGCATTACTCAGTGTTCTCCGAGGCCCCGACCTGACCCCTGCCTACCACCCTTGCCATCTGTCTGGAGCCTCAGAAGCACTTAGCTAGGGTAGCCGCTGAGATGGTGGGCTCCGTGCTGAGTGTTGCCCTTCAGGTGGGGGACAGAAGGAGGCTGCCCTCCACAGTTGACTGACTGGAAATTCCTGCACTGAGCTTTCCAGGCTTCCACTCTTCCCGGGCTTCCTGAACGGGCCCCTGTATGATGGTCACCATTACATTAAGAGGTGATGAATGCACCAGTGAGCACTGCTGGAGAGATGGCAGGACATAGACTAGGATCAGGCTTCCTGGTTCAGATCCTGGTTTCACCATTTAATAACTGTGCAGTCTGGGCCAGGGATTTAGCCCAGTGATTCTGCCACCTGCCTTGCATGCACAGGGTCCCAAGTTCAATCCCTGGTACCAAAAACAAAACAAAGCAAACTTTGCAACTTAGCTCTCAGCCCAAAATGATGACTGACCCACTCATGCATGCTAACCACCTTCTCCTTCACTGATCTACTGCCCCGGTCTCAAGTGTTAGCTTCTGTGTTACATACAGTATGCTCCTGGCTGGCCAGCCATTATTTTCTTCTTTTTTTTTTTTCAATACCAGGGATCAAACTCAGGACCTTGCGCTTGCAAGACAGGCAGCAGAAGCGCTGAGCTAAATCCCCAGCCCTGGCCAGGTATTATTCATAAACTCTTTAGCTAATAATAATACTAGTTAATATTTATTGAAGTCCAAGAAATACAATCAACTCCTTGATTAATTCACTTAAACAAAGACAAACACATTAATGGATAACTTTTGTTACGGGTAGTAAGGGCTGTGCCTCAGCCGAGCCTGGACTCAGCAGCTCACAGACCTTGTACAGAGCAGAGAAGAGAGGGTAGTGCGGCCCTAGTTCAGCCCTGTGGACCGGGGAGGTGTGTGTGAGGGGGGCAGAAGCACAGTTTTTCAATTCTTAGTACGTTTGGTTTCATTTCTGTATCTTGAGGGTTGCTGTTGCTTTGGGGATTGACATTGTATCCTCTGGCCCCTGCCAGATTTTCACAGCAGCCACCGTGGGCTGTCCTCACCCACAGAGACAGCGTCCCACTCAAGTGTCCCCTTCTGCCTCTGCTTCTCTGCCTCAGTGAGAGCTCCTGAACCCTTGGGGAAGCGGGGAGAACACTTTCAGAACCTCTCCAAACAACGGAGCGTGGGAGTCGGTGGTCAAAGTTTCAGCTTCCTGTCCTTCAGAAGGTCACAGAGTCCCTCAGACTATCGACAGCGGGAGGGCCCTGTGCTCACAGTGGTGCTCAGATAGGCTGTGGTATGAATGTGTCACCCGAAGGTTCATGTGCTTGAAACTTAGTCCCCAAAGTCATAAGTTAATGGTATTTGGAGGTACTGTTTTTGGGAAGCAATTAGAATTGAAGTCATGAAGGTGTCATGAAGATGAGACTCCTAGAATGGCCTCAGTGGCTTTATAAGATGAAGAAGGAGAAGGAGGAGGAGGAGGAACTGGAGGAGGAGGAGAGAGAGGAGAGAGACCCCAGCTAGTATGCTTGCTCTGCTCGCCATGCAATACCCTCTGCCATGTTACAATGCAGCAGGAAGGCCCTCACCAGATGCCCAACAGATGCCAACACCACAGCTTTGGATTTGCAAGCCTTCAGAATCACAAGCTAAACAAACCTCTATTTCTTACAAATTCCCTGATCTCAGGTATTTTGTTATAGTAACAGAAAATGGACTAAGGTCAATAGCACACAAGGTATTGGCTTTTCCTCCTTCCTTAGGCTTCTCTGAGACTTGTCACAGATCTCAGCAACTAACCTCTTGGTTTGTGTCCCCTGCCTAGTAATGCTGTCTGTCTCTATCCCTTTTCTTCCAAGTCCTTTCCTCCCAGGCTGGCTGCACATTGGTGCTCAGGCTTTCTTAAGTGGAGTATACTTAAAAAAGAAACATCAGGGAAAGTCTTCTATTTAGCTCAGTATTTACAGTGCCTGGTCCATGAGTATAGGAGAAGTGACACAGTTATCATTATTTCTGTTTAATATAGGCAATGGGCCTATGTAAAATACCTCTGTACTTGTCTTAAACACTGTTGTTGAAGATTCATCCCTTGTTTTGCTCAGTGTCTCTTAATTAAGGTGCTCAATCATCCCAATTTGTCTAAGGCCGAGGGAGTTCTTGGAACCCAGGACTTACAGTTAAAACTAAAATGGAAAGGTTTCCCCAAAATAAGACACTTTCAGTGCTCAAACTGAGGGTTGGGTATCATACCCTAATTAAAGACACGAAGCTCATATAATGGAATGAGATTGTTCCTGCTGCTAAATTGGAGTGTTTCCTTTCGCCTGCTTATGTTTCCCTCTTTGCACTGACGTCGGAGGATCCCCAAGATGCGTGTTATGGATAATGCCAGAGCATCTAGCAGTCTGGATTACCGGAAGATAATTGCTTGCTAGTCTCTGCCTTGCTTTTCATTCTTTTCTCTTAGAAATTTTAACATATGATGTGAGTTGCACCCAGGGTTACATTAAATAATGTCCACCAAGCACACAAGAGAAAATAACTCTGCCTTTTGTCTTCAGACTTCCCTTCAGTTGGCTACTGTTTCATTCTATGTGTTTGTAAGTCAGGGGGTGATGGGGTACATCTGGGTTTGCTGTACCTTCCCGTCCATACGAACATTTATCGGAACGCGGTCATGTACACTAATATCTGCACGTCGATGGCTGCTTCTGAGTGCTAGTGGCAGAGGCAAGTAGTTGTATGAGAGAACATATGGTTTGCAAAGCCTGAATACTCACTATCTGAGAAAGTTTACAGAGGAAGTTTTCTACGCCTTGTATTATACTGAAACCTCGAGCCGTGTTAATGGGGTTTGGATGTCGTTTTGAATTTTACATATATACGTATATTTCCTGTTTCAGGAATGTGCAGCTTCAAAATTTAGACATTTTCTGTGTACAAAAGAATTTAGATATTTTCTGTGGGGGGAGATCACAGAAATGATAACATCACAGGCGTCCATAATGACCACATGGGCCCCCTTTTATCTCAGTTCCTGTTGGTGGCCTCAGTTAATAGCTAACGAGTACACATTGCTCCAAATTCCTTTCAGTGCAGCAACTAATCTACATATATCGTTAAAATAATGCCACAAAAGAACTAACTCTCTAGGCGAGCAAATTTCCAGGGTAAGCACTCTTAAATTCCCCATCAGCAGCACTTTTTGGCCATATTCACAGACGTTCTCACTCATTGTTTCCAATACCTTTCCTCCCTGATCTGTTTTAATGAAAAGCCCTTTCTAAATCATTCACAATAGCAACACCCTTCCAAGTTCTAATTATTCCTGATACCTCTCATTATAATAATTATTCTCTTGTTTAATCAGTACTAATTACTGTTGCTTTAAAATATCACTCAGAATCAGTGAGGATGATGGCAGATACCTAGATCCTGTCACCTTGCTTCCAAACTGTCGTGCTTAGTCAGGACTGTGGCTTTTGCTGATTATCCACTTGCTTCTAGAAGACCAGCAGAACTTATACCCTCCTGCCACACATACCTGATTGCATCAGCCACCTCCAGAAGCCCAAGGCCCCCATTTTCTAGGGGATCTGTCATCACCCAGAATCTCAGATCCACAGAGAGCTCGGTGTGTCTGTTAGCGCCCTGTTCCCTTTGTCTCCCCAACTTTTGATTTCCAATACACTCTCCCAGTTGCCCTCTGGAATTCCCTTTCTGCGACCAACAAACATCCCTGCACTCTCAATGCCTTCTCCAAACATAGCTTTCCATTTTCTTGCCTCAGTTTAAGCCTAGACATCTCCTAGCCTTCTGCTAGAGTGGAGAGAGAGGAGAGAGACCCCAGCTAGTATGCTTGCTCTGCTCGCCATGCAATACCCTCTGCCATGTTACAATGCAGCAGGAAGGCCCTCACCAGATACCCAACAGATGCCAACACCACAGCTTTGGATTTGCAAGCCTTCAGAATCACAAGCTAAACAAACCTCTATTTCTTACAAATTCCCTGATCTCAGGTATTTTGTTATACCTTCCCAAACTGTAGAGTGCTTTTCCCTCTCACCTCACATACTAGTGTTCCCCTCTGTAACTTTCAAAATTTCCCCCCCTCTTTTTGCTTACAGCAATCCCAGAAACCTTTCAGGTGAAGTCCTCAGGTCATCTCAATTCAGACCGGCGGTATAAATGCTGAATAAATAGCCACATGTGCTCAGTGGTCCTGGACAGAGTAGTTACCGTGTCAGCTACTCCTCCCTGAGGGATCCTCTGCCACCCCCTCCGTCACTAAACACTCCGGTGCCTAACTTTGTCTTCCACTGTCCTCATCTTTGGTAGTTTCAATATGCACATAGCTCTCATCCAGCCTTTTGATTTCTTCATTCCTTGACCGTCACACCCATCTGTGATTTTCTCCTTCACTTTAGCCACACCCTGAACCCAACCCTTGGAGGCCACTACACAACCTCTGGAATCTGGAGTTTAAGTTTCCCAGATTTTCTGGCTAAATATCTCTGCTCCAAACAATTCTCCTAATTTAGTGAGATGCTTGGTTTGATTCCATCACATAGGAACATAATCCAAGTCACGTATGTGGCCCATACATTTCTAGTAGCCACATTAAGAAGTGTACAATCAACAGTGAAAAAAGAATTTTAGTAATATATTTTACTTTAACCTAATAGATCCAAAATATTGTTGTCAACATGGGATCAATATAAAATCCCTAATGAGATATTCCATGTCCTGTTTTTTTCATACAAAGCCTTTGAAATCCGTGTGTATTTTGCATCTGCCACATCTTGGTTCAGACCAGCCGCGTACAAATGCTTCGCTAGCACACACTGCCAGTGGCTACCGTGTAGATAGAGCTGCTCTAGACTAATTAAATCTTCACCCACCACTGTCAGTGTCCTTCAGTTTTTCTGCTCTGTGGTAGATCCCACTTGTCTTTACTACGATCCATCACAGCATTCCAAATGTCCTTCCACTCTATTTCTTCACCTAGGGAAAAAACCTACCTCGTTCCTAGTTGGACCTAACCATCTGCCTATCCCCATGCAATTGAAAATTATAGGAACAAATCACACACTTGGGCTACTTTGCTGCACCTTCATTTCATGACCACAAATTTAAAACAGACACATAATGCTCCCTGGTAACCTTATCACATTTTCCTGGTTGAATTTGCTTCCTTACACTCACAGACTACTATTTTACATGTTTTCATCTCTTCTCAAGCCTCCCTAGCCTCCTCTTCCCCTAACTGCTACCTCTCAGCACATGCCCTTATTTCATTATTCATTAACAGATGTCACACATATAATATATCCAAAATGCTACTCTCTCTTCCCTGCCTGTTCGGTGCTGGTAATGGTGCCATTACCAAAGTCAAAATCTGAGCCCATATTAATTATTTCCTCCTGTTCATTTACCAGCAGGTCCTGTCACTTCTCTTCGTGTCCATGGCTACAGTGCTGGGTGGAGCACTGTCGCCTCTTGCCTGGGCTGCAGTGATGACGAGCCAGTCTTCTCTGTTTCCGTGCCGACACCTTGAAATCCATTTTCTACCGAGAAGCCGGAGTGGCCTTTAAAAAAGCATAAATCCGATGGTGTCATTCCCTTCCTCACAACTACTCGTTTCCATGGCTACAAAAGGTCCTACGCTGTGTGACCCTTGCTTGCTTCTCGAGTGCAATCTTTCCCAGCTCTTCTCCCCACTCACCGCGCTGTGGTCACACAGGCCACTTTCTTGTTTCTTGAGCATATCAAGCTCTTTCTTGCCTTTTGGATTTTGCACTGCTATTTCTCTGCCTGGAGCGATCTTCCCGCGGTGTTTCTGTCGATTGGTTCCTTTCCTCCTTTTCATTTTTAGAGACATCTTCCCTTAAAATTCCTGTGCAAAGTCCCTTTCTCCCTCATCAGTTACTCATTCCTGGAATCTCATTCCTTTCATGGCATTTATTATAGGAAAGTACAGTAGTTGTTTTACTTCCTATTTACTTCTTTACCATCTGTTATACTCGAGAAATAAGCCTCATGAGAGTAGGTACGTGGTCCTGTTCCCCTACTGTGTTCATTGAGGCTGGAGTAGTCCCTGGTAGGTACGTAACAGAAATTCAGTGAATATTCACCGAGTGGATGAATGGACGGAGAACTCAAGCGGCCGGATGCGCCACTATTTCATCGCCACTCTTTACTGTGAAATGCACAGACTCGCGAGATCAGACTTAACATCCCCCGCAAATTCATTAAGCTTAGAAATGGGTCAATGAAGTTGGTAAAGTGCTGGCTCCCTTTCTGTCTCTCGATAGCGATCATATCGATGAATACTTCTGGGTGCTTAAGCTCTTTACATGTGGCAAAGCAGCAAATTTGCATACGCTGCTGGTTGGACAGGGCTGGGTCAACAGAATGTATCATCCTCGGGAGGCAGATGAGGTCAAAGCCTCAGAGCTACCCCAGTTAGCAAGCTCAAGGGACTTTCATTGTGTGAACTGTACATGCAGGTGTGACCTGGTGGTCGTTCTGGAAACTTAAAGTCATGAGTCCCTTAAAAAAATCACACTGGGGGGCCGGGGATTTAGCTCAGTGGTTTGGTGGCCTGCCTTGAGAGCGCAAGGACCCGAGTTCGATCCTGGGTACAAAAAATGATAATAATAATAATAATAAAATAAAAATCACACTGGGTTCTGCACGGAGAATGGATAGGGAGGAGATAAGAATTAAAAGTCTTTCATTTGACAGTGACAGAAGCTAAACTTAAATTGATTCCAGCAAATAAAGGCAGCAGTTAGTTCATATAACCAAGAAGTCTGGGAGTGTTTAGCTTCAGCTACAGGTAGATCCAGGGCTCAAAATTATAGGCCGATAGGATGTGGAGCTTAATTAACTCCTCGTGCATAGGCTGGGTTTAAAGTCTTGCTTCCAAAAAATGGAGTATGGAAATGGAAAGAAACAAAGTAAAATTAGTAGTACAGAAATCTGGGCAATTATGTTGTCCAGATAGTGAAGGTTAAGATCACTGGTAATAAATCCTGATAAGTGCACCCCATCATAAGGTGATGAGGCAAGCACTGACCTTTGCAGCGTTCTCCTTGAAGCCCATAATGCCAGACTAATCATAGAAAAAAACTGACAAACTCAAATGGAGGGACATTCCACTCCTGCCCGACTAGTACTCTTCAAAACTCTCAATGCCAGGAAAAACAAGGAAATACTGAGAAACTGTCACAGACTAGAGGAGCTAAGGAAAGGTGGCAGCTCAGTGTGGTGTGGTCTCCTGGGCTGGGTTCTGGAACCAAAAATGCCATTAGTAGAACAGTTAGTGAAATCTGAAGAAAGCATGGAGTTTAGGAGTGTACCAATGTTGGTGTCTTAGTTGCAACAAAAAGGACTATAGTAATGTAAAATGTTAACAGTAGTGGAAACTTGGTAATAGAGTACAAGAGCACTACAGTATCTTTACAGCTTTTCTGTAACTCTAAAATTATTGCACCTACAATTTGAATTTCTCATATAATAGAAACCACGTGGTATTTAAATTTGTGCATCTGATTTATTTCACTTAGCATGCTCCCAAGGTGTGTCCATTTCCCTACTCATGTTTATCCTCCTTTATGGCAGAGTACTGCTCCATTGTGTGTCAGTACTACTTTTGTTTTTTGGTACCAGGGATCAAACTCAGGACCTTGTGCTTGCAAGGCAGGCGGTGGAACCACTGAGCCAAATCCCCCTCCCAATACTACATTTTCTTCGTCCACTCTTCTATTGATGGACATATAGACTCCCTTCCAAGATATGGCTATTGTGAATTGTGCCACTACGATCATAGGGTATTCGTGGGTCACTGTAGTATGATACCTTTAACTCTTTGGGGAAGATACCTAGAGGGGGAATCCCTGGGTCCCCTGGAATTTTTAGTTTCAGTTTTATGAGGAATCCCTGTGTTGATTTCTATCACAGTTGTACCAGTTTTCATTGCCACCAACTGTCTAAAGGGCTCCTCCCCGCACCCCTGCAGCCTTGCCAGCATTTCTTACTATTGGATTTCTTTCTGGGATAAGATGGAATCTTAGTGTGGTTTTAATTTGCACTTCTTCAATGGCCAGCGATGTGGAGCCTTTCCTTATATATGTATTGGACAGTTATAGAGCAACACATAGGAAGGAGGGAGATGGATTTTTCTCAAATGGGAATGGGATCAAGAGATGAGGGAGGAGGGAGGGAGAGGAAAGGAAGGGAAAGGGGATGAAAATAGGAATTAAAATGTGCCATGTACACGTACTAACTGCACACAAGGAAAGTAAATATCATGTACTGCAATTATATACCAGTGAAAATAGAAAGTAAAATGGTATCAAATTAAAAAATAAAATTATTACAAAATAAAACTTTTTAATATATGTGCTGCTGCAGTGAGCACAAAATGAATTTTTAAAAATATATCAGCTGGATCTAGTTAATTATTTTTTAATTTTTATTTTTTAGAAAGATTTTTTTCTCCTATCTTTTTACAGCCATTAATTATGGGAAATACGCATGTTATGGTTTAAATCTAAAATGTCCCCCAAAAGTCTCTTGTGTTTAGAAAGTGATTAGATCTTTGAGCACTATACTTATCAGTAGATCCATCCATTGATGAGTTAAGTAGTTAAAAGTTATTAGAAAGTGGGGCCTGGATGGAACTGTGTCACCAGGGGCAGACCTGGAAGGGTATCTTCTCCTCCCCAGTACCATGGTTTGAGAACCTTTCCTCCGCCATGTGTTTCCACCATGCTGTATCTGTGTTACAGCCAACCAACCATGGACTAAACCCTCTGAAAACTGTGAGTCGAAAACAAACCTTTCCTTTTTTTTTTTTTGGTACTGGGAATTGAACTCGGGTCCTTGTGATTGTGAGGCAGGGAGCAGAGCCACTGAGCTAAATCCCCAGCCCTATTATTTATTTATTTATTGGTACTGGGGATTGAACTCAGGACCTTGTACCTTTGAGGCAGGTGGTGGAACCACAAACCTCTCCTTCTTTACATCATGGGGGTTGGATATTTTATCCCACCAATGTGAAAGTGACAAGTACAACACATAACAAAATTGATTGTGTCAGGTGTACAATTCAGTGGCATTAAAGTACATTCACAGTGCCTTGCAACCTCACCAGCGTCGATCCACAGAACTCTTTTAACCTTCCCAAACTAAAATCCTGTTGCTATTGAATAGTAGCTCTCCATTCTTCGCTAGACCTAGGAGATTCCACTTTCTGTCTCTGTGAGTCTGATTACTCAAGGTTGCTCAGTTAAGAGCAATCGTATAATATTTGTCCTTTTTGCCACCAGCTTCTTCCACTCAGCATGAAGGCTGCCAAGGTTTATCCATGGTGTGGCATATATCAGAATATCCTTCCTTTTAAAGGCTGAATAATATTTCACGGTGTGCATGGACCACATTTTGCTTATCCATTCACCCATTGCTGGCTATCTGGGTTGCTTCCTCCTTTTGGCTATTGAAAATAATGTTTCTATTTTTGAGCTCTGCTCTCCTCACTGTTTGCTCTTCTCATAGGTAGAACAACCAACCAGCCCAAAATTTGTGTCTATTGTCCAGCATAATTATTAATACATCCCTTTTACTCCCCAAAGTGTCCCACTCTGAATGCTAAATTATGTGTCCACCCAATGTCCCTGTGCACACCTCAGGCAGAAGAAATGTAACTTTCAACAGTTCTCACAAAGGTCCCTGCACCGAGTCTGCTAGACTCTAAATGACCAGGTGGCCAATCCTAAGGCAATAGTCTAGATAGTGCATATCATGCTTTTATTAGGAAAGTATGGGTCCTATTCCAACCTTGAGTATTGGATTGAAATCACTTTCACCCAAAACATGTTAGAAAGAGAAAGGACTTGTTTTACACATAAAATTGGAGGTGGAATGGATTCCAGGTAGACAAAACCCATAGATGTTAGCCAGGTGGGGAAGATGAGGTCTTCAAGTGATTTACTTTCCAAATCCCCAAACTTGAAAATTGTGCTCTTAATGTATTGCTCTCCCTTCTTTGTGTCACAATCTGTTAAGAATCACACATATTTGCAGATGACCTAGTCTTGGTGATAGTTCATAGTGATCAATTGATGCTGTTGTATTGTTTTCTTAGCCGTGAGAGCTGGAAATTATTGTCTTGTTTGTGCACTGTGATTTATAGTTGCTTCATGTTCTTTTACATTTTACCTATGGGCAAAATAGAAATTTGTTTGAGTTGACGGAGGTGTATTACGAATTCCATCTGATATGTGCCACTGGTCAAAAATGGGGGAGAACCACTGTTGCAGTGAACAGATGACCATTCCCTATGAAGAGAGGCTTCAAGGCCACTGAGCAGGGCTGGGTTCTTGGTGAATCCCACCCACCAGGGCAGCTGATAAAACACCACTATGTTCACAGCCTCGGAATTAGGGCAGCCTGTGTTGGATCCTCAAGGGTGCCCCAGCTGTGACCTTTGGTAACTTCATCTCTCTAAGTATAAAGGAATAATGATTATGCTTCTCTCCAGCATGGCTTTAAGATGAAATGAGATAATGCCTAGAAATACTTTGTATTGACTGGTAGAGTAAGTACTCACCGCTATTTTTATTATCTTAGCACAACTCCAGAACCCTGCCTATGAGAAGTCAGCTTTTCAGTGTAGAGTGGCTGAGGACAGCTTAAACAGAGGTCTTAGGACCCTGTCGCCATTGCCTCAGCTGGGAGCTTGTTAGAAATGCGGCTCTCGTGGGCTCCACCTTCTGAACGGAACCTGTGGGGATAAGGTTACAATGTAACAAGCTCTTCAGCGACTCAGATGCATGCCAAGTATGAGCACTACCGCCTTAACAACACCCACTTTTCTTCTTAGCGCTCATCGCTTGTTTATTTACCTGCTATGAGAGCAAAGGTCAGACCTGTTTGCTGCGACTCTAGTGTCTGGAAAGTACCAAGTCAG